ATCCCTGGCTGGGCCGGGCGCGGCGCCGGGGCCGGCTCCGTCTCCACAGAGCAGGCACGGGGGGTGCTTCTGCCCGGGTACCTAACCCCCCTCACACCGTTGCAGGTGCGCTTGGCAATAGCGGAAAAAGCCCTGGAGTGCGAAGAGCACGATGTAAACCTGCCGCTGAGCGAGCACAACGAACCGTGGTTTATGCGCTTAAATTCCTCTGGAGAGGTACCTGTCCTCATCCATGGGGAAAACATCATTTGTGAGGCAACGCAGATCATCGATTACCTGGAAGCAACGTTTGTAGACGGTAATCCCATAGGCGTTGGGGTGTGAAACCTTTCCCCGTGTACCCACAGTGTGCATCAGTGTCGGGGTCAGCTCTGTGTCGCCCGCACGTTGGTTCATTCATGGCCAGAAAAGAGTTTATAGTCTCACAAGTAAATGGGCCCTTCTAGTAGTTGGTGGTATGAGGTGAAAACCCTTTAAAAGTGAGCTGATTGAGGACTTCCAGCACCTTTACAACCATCTGTAAGTGAAACCCCAGCGCTGTCCTCCTTACTCCTTCAGGCAGGGAGGAGAAGTCAGTAATGGTGAAGTCAGTAATGGCAGCACTGTGCTGTGCTGACCCTGCGGTGAGACTGACGCGAAAAACAGCATGTCGAACAGCTGCACAACTTCTGCCGTTGCCAGGCAGCTCCTGCTTCTCTGTGAGGAAAAGAAGAAAGATGCTTAACTCCAGAATAATCTTGGGCAGCAATAGGAAGTAGGATGAGTAAATTATTTTTGGAGCCAAAATGGAGTGAAGAGGTAAAAAAAGTAGGAAGATAGAACTCAGAAGTGATCACATGTAGGCTTTTGAAATTCCTGGTGTCTGTATCACTGGAAAACAGACCATCTCAGTTTTTAAAGGAAGTACAGAGTTGTATTTTTTTTTGGTGTGAAGAGGCAGCATTTTGTGTTTGAGGGGTTTAGCGCAGTGATCTCTAAACCATGGAGAAAACCACATTGTTAGAGGAACATAACATGTACGTAATGCTGGCATGTTCACCAAATGAAGAGCCAGGGCCCAGGCAAATCAAGGGCAGGATAAAATGCAGTGATGTGCAGGAATACTTCTAACCATGCCTTGAGTAGGATTCCGGTACATTACAGCTGCAGTGATGTTTCAGCCATAATGGCTTACTGCAACCTCAGTTATGGCCTACTGTGGGAGGCCTAAAGGGATGTATGGCACGATATCCCGGCCCTAGAAATACAACATAGATCCTGAATCCACTTCTCTGATTTGAAGGACTCTTAAATATGTGTTTACATGGGTTGCTGCATAGGAATTGGAATTATACACATGTTTTAAAGCGCAGTACATGCATATACTTTTTGCTGAGCCATGGTAACACTGTTGAGTTATGGTGGGGAATAGTGAACCTTTTGTAACTATGTCATCTGTGCCAGTTGGACATAACCAGGGTGACTTTGGAAATACTGCTCTTGATAAAGTGCATGGTTCTTTTTTTCTTGACTTTATTTATAACTTTTGTGTTGCAGACGAAGTACCAAGATTAATGCCAGAAGAAGGGAGCATGTATTATCCAAGGGTGCAACACTATAGAGAGCTTTTAGACTCCTTGCCTATGGATGCCTACACGCATGGCTGCATCCTGCACCCCGAGTTAACAGTGGACTCCATGATTCCAGCCTATGCTACCAGCAGAATTCGTAGTATGTACTGGTATAGCTCTGAATGCCTATCAGTTAATAGGATGTTACTTTCATCTTGTGTGTTCAGTGCACCTTAAGCAGAATATATTGAGTGTGGATTTCCAATTTTAGTTGCAGCCCTTGATAATTTGTGCATATACTTTTTATTGATTTTTGTAGTTTGTTATTACTTGAAAATGGGAAAGAGGAACACCTGATGTTTGAGGTGTCTGTGGAATTAGTTTTCCTAATGATTGAAAATGTGCAACAGAAAACAGCAGCTGTGACAGCTGTGAGTATTTTACTTCCTGATACTGCTGTTTGTGCTTATAAGTCAATTTCCAGGGAACAGTGCTGTTACTGCTCACACCAAACCACTACACTGAATGAAACACGTTTTTTGTGACTGTGAACTTGTAAGAAGTTTACCTATTAAGTTAAATCAATTGCTTTCATCTCAAAGTGGTGCAAATGCAGATTAGCCTCAAAGAAACAGGGTCTGTTGATCTAATGTATTATAAGAGAATCATCAGACCCTTTTTGTCTGAGGACTATACTAGGGTCAGGTTGGTGCCAGGGGTAGGGAGGAAAAAAAAAAGAGAAGGAGTAAGTAGCTTGGATTCATCTGACCATGGAAATTATTCAAGCACAATTTAAAACAAAATCCTGGGTTCAAATAATGCAACAGTATAGGATCAAGATAAGGGGTGAACCAGTGGGCTGGTAGAATTCATGCCAAAATGTCCTTTGACTTCCTTGGGATTGGTATTTTACCTGATGGACTTCTATATGCATACCAGTTTCCCACTGAAAAAGTATCTTAAGGGCAAAGGAAATAACTGTAGGTTTTGTTGCCCAGTCCTCTGTATAACAGAGATCTGGAACGAAGTCCTGTTTCAGATCCAGTAGTTCGCAGAAATAAGTAGTTTAAGCAACATTCAGTAATATTCAGAAAAATCCTTGGCAAAAAAATCTTTCAGTTCTTACAGCTCTCTTTCCCCCAACCCCAGGGGTTTGGACACCAGAACTGGACAACAGTTTCTGTTCACTTTTGTATCAGATAAGGAGATAATTTTTGTTGTTGTTACTGTATGTATGTTCAAGGGCTCCAGTGTTACTTTCCGCCACAGAATCGCACTGGGAATCCTCGTTCAGCTGGTTGTGGATCGTGACCTCAGCCTAGCATTTCAAATCAGGTTGCAAACCCACAGCCCTCTCACCAGGAAACGTGGCCTGTATCTTTTCTGGACTATATCTTTTGCTTCAATTTATATTTTATATTGGACTGTGCTGAAGCATTGATTGGTTGCTTAGGCCCCGTTTATCAGCCCATCCAGACCACTGAGTATCAGTGCCATGTTTTTTTTTATTTGTGTCCCTTCTAGTCTTTGTACCATGGCAAACTTTTAATTATGCTTTTATATTTCCTTCTAAGCATTACAAAAGAAGTAAGTAGTTCTAGGATGGGATCAGATCCCAAGAACACAGCTGGATGATGATTCCCTGTTTACAGATATGTTCTCAGATCTCAGCTATGCTATAACCAAATTCATAATATCATAAAAGATGATACTGTGTTAGTCTGAGAAGTTCTATTTCTAACCAACTATGTTATCCTCCTCCCTGAAAGTTTTGGCAAGTCAGTTCTCTCATTAGCCACGCCGTTATGTTGTCAGAAGTGAAGTCGGGCAGCTGGTTGCATGATTTACCCTTTATAAAACATCAGCACAAAAAAAGTTTTTATTTGGTGGAAACTTCCTGAGCATTGGAAAGTATTTGGAAGTTAGAGTTGCTGGTCCAATAATCAATGGCTATTTAAAAATAAAATCTCTCCAGATATTTTTTTATAAGGAATTACTTTGGGTAATTTCAGTTAGTGATTAGCATTGTTTTACGGAAGTAACACAAATTACCATATCAGTGTATTGTCTGTTTGTCTTTTTTTTATGTATTCTTTCCCCTCTATCTTCTAGTTGGTATTAATTGTTGTTGGTTTACACACACACACAATCATATTGGTAGAGCTGAAATTACTACTTGTCTAAATTGGAATGCTTTCTTTTCTTTTCATATTTAAAGCATAGCTTCCTTTCTTAATTTGAGGCATTTTTTTGAATAGCTCATGGAAGTTTCTAAACAATTCCTTTGCTTGTTCAAACTTCTCCTGGATAGTTTAGTTTTCAGCTTTGAAAAGTTGATCTTTTTCAAATTGGTAGATATAATTAGCTACCAGCTAGTTACGTATTATGTTTATGCATACCAAATCTAATTAAGTAATTAATTGCATATGTAAGCTATTAGTTGTGTGATTTCATCCTTCAATTTCTTCATATACTATATTGAAAGATGGCTTTCGCAATCATGTCAGCTTGAAACAAAGAATACATAGACCAGTGAGTTCATTATTCTTTAGCAAGAATTTTTTTAGCAGTTTAATTTGTAAGGCTTAATTGGAACTAATCTTAATTAAGTACAAGTGAGAAGTGATTCATGCCTTGTAATGATTATTTTGTTCTCAGTTTATGACTAGAAATATTTATTTTCAGAAGATAACTTGTTATTCACTATCTTTTGGTATGCTAGGTCTATAAGAACGGCCTTTTCAAGCAAAGCCCCAGTATATGGAGAGGAAAGGCTGTACACATGTAGTAGAAATCAGTAAAATTATCTTAAATTTTTCACATCATTCCTTCTTCAAGTCATGTAATGAACATTTTTCTAGAACATCCATATACTCTCTAATGAACATTTCCAAAAGGGATCACAGATTGTGGTGTCACATTTTAGCTAACTGAAAACACCGTGGTTCCATATTCACTGATATTTAGGCTTTTGCTGTGGAATTATGCCTGTGACCTACAGTGATCTAGAGAAAATCTGAGCATGGGCCTATCTGCACTTTCACAGCATGAAAAATGTGTTAGGAACCCAGGAATTGGGGTTCAAAAATGTCAGAGACCTAAGGTATTTCACGGATTTAGCTCCGTTTTTGGCAGCAGAGTGGTTTTGTCTGAATAAGAGAAAAATATTAACAAGAATTCCTCTTTCTTGCCTGGCAGATCACCGCTTAATAGAGTTCATTGCAAAGTGATGAGCAGAATATGTGCTGGGGTCAATTTATGCAGCAGTTAAGTCTTCCAAAACTTGGTGCTTTTGAATTCCAGCTTGGTGGTGATGCTTCATTGAAGTACCACTTCCCATTTCTTTGGTGTGATATTTGTACACAAGCTATTGATCCAAGTTCCTGTGGACTGCATTATGGGCATGTTTAGGTATCTAATATCATTCCTTTGTGGTTTTTTTTTTTTTTTTTTTTTAATCAGGCCAAATAAGTAACACGGAATCAGAGTTGAAGAAACTTGCGGAAGAAAATCCAGACCTTCAAGATGCCTATATAGCAAAACAGAAGCGCCTTAAAGTAAGTAAACTCTTTGTATCCCCTCCCTATATTCTGACTGAGCTGGTTAGTGTCAGATTTTTTCTGTCACGATGTGAACATCTGTTTCACATGTCATTACCAGTAATGCCAGGCAGTGGTTTAACCCTACACGGCATGAAGCAGTCTGTCCCCCCAGATCAGCTACACACTTCATGTGTGTGCTGACGCATTGGACTGGTTCCACTGACCCCGAAGGTAAGTACATATCAGCACTGGTGTTGGGATGTAGAGCACCCTGAGGGGTGAGGCAAACTCAGTATCTAACATCTCTAATGCTTTTCTTCTGTTACCTGAATTGTCATCAGTACCTGAATGGTATCCAGCTGACTATGTGGAGAAAATAATCATGTTTGATAAATAAGCACTGTAGTATCTAAGTAGAAGTTTCTCTGATAAAAGTATAGACCCTGTGCAATGATAAAAGCACTAACCTGTATGTATATTTAGTCTAAACTGCTGGATCATGATAATATAAAATACCTAAAGAAAATACTGGATGAACTGGAAAAAGTTTTGGATCAGGTTGAGACTGAATTGCAGCGGCGAAATGAGGAAACGCCAGGTAAGGAATTATTCTTGCTAAATCCTGTTTGATGCTTGTGTTTGGGGAGACTGAGTAAACTTGTTGACAGCACCAGTATAGGACTGGTTTTAATGTATCCGATTTGATACTTGCAGCATACGCTGCTCTAACATCACAGAAGGGATCAATACTGTTTTGAATACTAGTTTAGTTTACTCCTATTGTCAGTGAGTTCTGTTGTCAGTGAGTTCTTGCTGTCTTATGAGAGTGCTTGATCACGTTTTCAGCATGGTGAGTATAATTAGCTGCACAATTTTGCAATATTTTATTCTCAAAATAAGAAAAAAAGCTACACAATATTATTCTTGATGTTGTAGGCCTCAGTTCACTGTAATGATCATGACCTTAATGTTAAGACAGATTATTACGATCTTGTTTAAATACTGTGCTGCTATTTGTAGTATATGCAGAATTAAACTGGAGAACATAGATTTTCACTGAAGGAGGGTGGATTTGGATTAGGTGTAAGGAAAAAATTCTTCATGGGGAGCGTAGTGAGGCAGTGGAACAGGTTTCCCCGAGAAGCGGTGGATGCCCCATCCCTGTCTGTCTTCAAGGCCAGGCTGGATGAGGCTTTGAGCAACCTGGTCTAGTGGAAGGTGTCCCTGCCCATGGCAGGGGGTTGGAACTAGATGAACTTTAAGGTCCCTTCCAACCCAAAACATTCTGTGATCCTGTGAACTGGAAATCTGGGTAAGTGCTCTAATCATTAGGCAGTGCCCCTTCCCCACCCTTTTGGAAAGCAGTGGTCTTTACCTCCTGTCCACCCAAATGAGAGTTAGAATTTTGTTTAAATGGGATTAATCATCTTCTTACTCAGAGTCTAGTCCAACTCCCAATAGTGCTAATAAGAATCCTTCTTCTGACTTCACTGGGAGCTTCATGAAGCGTCGGTCAGTATCAACTGCATCTGCTCAGTTTAATGACTCTTTGCATTTGGCTCTATAAATAGCTGTTGTAGTAATTGTCAGTTACTATCAAGATAGGGGATTTGAACCAGCAGTTGAAAGTCTAGATTAAATTTTCTATTGACTCAACAGAGAAAGAGTCACAAAAAATGTTTTGTCTCACAAAGGATGGTAGGATTTTGTTCAGCAAACTGTCACCATTTCCAACAGCCCCTTTGCTTTCTCTCCTAAATAGCTTTTCCAAGGAGTCAATTGATACCATATTGATGAGCTTATGAAAACCACCAGGATCACAGGATTTAGTAAAACATATGCCTGTTACCTGCCCCTTGGACTTTTGTCTGAAGCATTCACATTTTTGAGGTTTGTGAATGATGCTTCTCCAGGTCCTGGTCAACCTCTTAGCCTTTGCTTTTCTTGCTGCTGCTCAAATCCCTCATTCACTTACTGCTGCTGCCACTGCAGGCCTTTCTTTCACCAATTAGCTTCTTTTGTCTTCCTTTCCATCATCTTACTTAATGCACCATGTGAATCCTCTGGTATCTTTTCAGCAACATAGGATACACCCGTTCTCTGCAGAGGCCTTTCTTCCAGACCTCTGTAACCAGTCAAAATGAACTGATACCAGTGGTGTGCCAAACTGTTGCTTTCTTCTGGTGGCAGATGAGTTGAAAGGGACATCGCAAAACTTCTCTGTTTCCACAGGGATGTTGCTGAACGTTTGTGCCCACGGTTTTCCCTGCCTGTTGCGTGACAAGAACTGTAAAGGTTGCAGATGAGGAGGGAACGGCATAGACCTGTTTGAGATCTAGGCTAGAGCAGGGTACTCAGGCTGGCAGCTATGCTAACTACCAAATTTCATATCCTGGTTTTCAGAAGCTCTTGGCGTAGTCAGTACAGGTAAGCCCTTTCAGGTTGTGGTGCTTCAGACCACTGAAGTTAGAGGTGCGACACTGCCTGGCAGTGCCTGCACTGAGCTATCCCAGGAAGATTCACCTTTTTTCTTTCACTGGGAACGGAGCCTGGGGTCTCCATCTGTGGTCTTGAGTGATGGTGAGCAGTCTGAATATCCATCGCTTCTCAAACATCTCAGTGTTAAAGCTCTATGGTTTGGAGCCTAGGAGGCACGAAGGAAGGACGAAGGAAGGACGGTCAGGCAAACTGTCTTCTCTCTGAGCTGGTGTGTTTGGTGCATGTCAGTAATCTGATCCATCTCTTTTTTGACTTGAAAGTCTCCAGCAAATTAGCAGTTCCTTAGTGAATGCCATAGAGCTGACTGACACAGGCAAGACGGTAAGTTCTTCAGGCAAGTGGTAGCTTTTCAGTGAAAGCTAAAATGACTTTGTCCTTTCCAACCTTGTTTAATTTAATCCAGATTTGAGAAACGTAGTTGGGAAAAATAAGAGCTTACTGTGGGTTTTAGTTTACGAACCTGAAATGTGGCTCTTTTCTTTTTTTTCTTTTACAAATTTCCGCCAGCCTTCTGAGCCTAAGACTTCACAGTATTGTGTGACGAGTAGACAGGGGTTAGTAAAATGTTCATTGATTGAAGTCATATCATAGCTGAAGTGTTGGGGGTGTTTTTTAAACAGCATTTTGAAATAGCGCTAAACTGTTAGCCCACAAAGGCTTCTATGTGTGCTTGTATTCCCTTAGCTCCTAATTCTTTATGTTTTATCTCTGCTCAGAAGATGGAAATCAGCCTTGGCTCTGTGGCGATTTCTTCAGTCTGGCAGATGTATCACTTGCTGTCACATTACATCGCCTGAAGTTTCTGGGATTAGCAAGAAGAAACTGGGGAAACGGAAAGCGGCCCAACTTGGAAGCCTATTATGAGCGTGTCCTGAAGAGAAAAGCATTTTACAAAGTTTTAGGACACGTCAACAATATATTGATCTCAGCCGTGCTGCCAACGGCGTTCCGCGTGGCCAAGAAAAGGGCGCCCAGGGTTCTCGGCACCACCCTGCTGGTCAGCGTGCTGGCGGGAATAGGCTATCTTGCTTTCCTTTGTCTACGGAAGAGGTTTGCCAACGTGATGTTATCCATTAGAACCAGGCAAAATTATTTTTAGACCCATATGTTCCTGGTGGGGAGTGGAGGGGACCTCTACCCCCCAGGAAAATATCCCCAATAAAATATAAACGTAGAAGAAAGGTTATGCCTGTGAATTAGAACATTGTCACACAGTAATTGTCTCCTGCTGTTGTATAATTGGATTGGCAATGCCGAGATATTTGTGGACAACAAAGGAAAGAAGAAACTTTCTTTTCAGATGGGGACCTATAAGGGCTGTGACAGTGCTTTGTTAAAGTCGTTATTGTCTCCTTTACCCAGTAGCTGACCTAATTACAGTGCTTTTATTTAATAGATATGCAGCAATGTGACAGCTTTTCACTGTGGGTGAAATGCATTACTGTGCAGAAACCAGCATTGTTGAAATACTGAAAACAGCACTTACTTTAAATGCTCAGCGTAGGATTTAAATGGAACATGGGCTCTGTGCCTGTCGTGTATGGGAGTGAGAGGCTCTGTACTGATTGATGTATATTGATTTGCAGTTGGACTTTTAGGAATGTGTTACAAAACCAGTCTTGTCACTGTATGTTCATGCAGTAGTACAGGAAACGTACACGTATGTAACATCATTGAAACACACCTGAACATCGGTGATTTGTGGGCCACACAAGTGAAATTCTCCAGAGGCATCAGTGGTCAACAGATGCTAGACTTGTGCTGAAACACACATGGGAGTGAAAATCCTGATGTTTGTGTTTTGAAAGCCTTTCAGGCAGCCTTTAGCCCAGGCAAGTACCCAGCTCTGCCGCAACCCGTGGCTGGGTGAAACTAAACTGTCTCGCTGCACATTTCCTGCTTTCATTCCTATCAGTTCCATCTGTCTTTTGCTCCTGGGGTGGCTTGATACAGTTGTCTTCCTATTAGTGTCCCATGCACCCTTTCTTGTTTCCACCCCGAGCACTGGCTATCTGTTGCACACAACCTGGCCACGTCAGCAATTGCGTGTGCCTCTGTGAAATGTTTGCCCACAGCGTGCCACAGCCAACTAGAAAATATGTGTACAACAATGCCTTTTGTAAAAGTTGTCTAAAATAACTAACTATCAGTCTGGTTAGGTGGTCTAGACTGAAGGTGAAACTAATTCAGCAATTTGTTTATTTGTGGAGAGGTGTGGAAAGTGAAAAATGTGTGTCAGTTTGGAGACGGGTGATTTTTAATGCAGATTTTTTGCAAAGCTGCACTCTTGCGGCTTGGTGGAAAGGTGTAAAAAACCACTTTGATTACTTCCCAGTACTCAGTAGATGCTGAGAGTTTTATTAGGTTTGAGCTGTGCTCCTGTTTCAATGAGAAATGCACACTTACCTGAAGGTAGACTTCTAATTCTTTTGCAGTGAGAAAGCAATTGGGAAGGGCTGACAATTCTCGTGACAGTTTAGTAAGATTTTTGTATTCTTGATGAATGTCTGGAAGCCTCAGAGTTTTGTTTACAAACTGTGAATAACTACAGCAGAACGTAACTTTAAATGTTTGCCTGTCAGCAACCAGTGCTAACAGGCCTAAATACATTTTAGATCCAGTGCTGTTGGCTGTGGTCTCTTTGCAGAATTGCTTTTGAGCACCAAGAGGATCCTTTGTCAAGTTTGCTGGAGATGGCTGAGGCAGTTTCTGTCTGGGCTGTCCTACCATGTAACAGATATCAAAATGGATAAAATTATTGAATGCTCCTGCTTATAATTTAATGTTGTGGTAGTTGTCTAACAAATGGAGACCTAAAGCTCATTGCTCCTTTTCAATAATAAGAAACATCTTACCTAGGAAGCAATGTTTTGTTTTATTATTTGTCAAAAAGGCAGTTTTATATAATTCTATTTCATGACCCAGTTGTTCTTGAGAACTTGCTGAATTAAATGTGAGCTATTTAGAAAAGCTTTATTATCCCTAGAGTAAGTTTAATCCAACAGAACTATTAATGTGTTGGCAGCTTTAACGAGTTTGTTGTTTGTATATTGCAGTTCATCTGCATTTACTTGTAACCAACAAATTCCACTAAGTTAATAAACTGAGGAGTAAGCCCTGTAACTTAATGCTTCCCTGGCATGTATTTCTGACAGGCCATCTGTTAAATATAATCTGACCAAGTCATGGTGAAATTCAATATATATATATAACTTGGCTTTCTTTAGAATTAATTTATATTTTGCTTTTTCCTTCCTCTTTTTTTTAATGTGTTAGTTCTAGATAAGAACACTTGTATTCCCAGAGGTGTGCCAGTTCGGTTCACATGAGCAGCCCTGTCTGCAGTGACACAGGCTAATTATTGATGAAGCAGTTTTCCTTCTCCCAGTCCTCCATGATCTCTGCACTGCCAGGAGCTGTTGGGAACGACTCTTGGAAACGACCACCAGATGTCAGTGGTCCTCCAGGGCTGCGCTTTGGCATGCCTTGGGATGTGCAAGGAAACACCGGTTTCCACCAAAGGAAAGGTTTGTGGTCTCAGTGTAAAATGGATATGAGCATCCTCATCAGACTAGCAGTCTCTCAACAGCTCTTGCAAGGACTTCTTTGGTCTACTGCAGGTTGGTTCTCTGGTACCTATCGTTTATGCTCGTGTAGCTTCTACACCAGATAAATAAGAAGGCAAAGTTGAAATAATATTTCACATTAAAATGAATGTCGCTGAACAGTGATTAAACTTTTCATCTGCAGGAATGAGCACGGATAAAACTTTTACTGCAGAAAAGTTTGGATGCCTAATTTAATTCACATCTGTTACTTCAACTATTTGGTAGCCTACTTGTTTTCACTGCCCTGAAGTACTCTGTGCAATGTCGATTTCTGTACAGGTGGCAGCAAAAGGCTTATCCATGATTAAATGCCTCAAAATAGGATGAGCTTTAGGAGCACATATGTTATATATGGCTCTTTGTTCAGGATAGTTTTTGTGTGGTGCCTGTTTCTTTTCAGCCTGCCTTATTTTCTTTGCTCTGGTACGTTTGGACACTATTTAGATTGGAAACATGAGCAACAGTCTGGTTTTACTTACTATTTGCTCTCATATCACGCATCAGATATCTTTCATACCATATCTTTGTATGTGGGACCTGCACAATAAACATCAGTTCAAAGACCACTTGCTAAACTGGTTTATGTCTTCTGTGTCAGTAAACCAAAGAATGTTCGAGGATCACACAGTACTGCTGGCTGATGCTGTTTAAGGAGAGAAGCCTCCGGTATTTCAGTTTAGAAGGTGTTCAACACATTATCTTGCATCCGTTTGGAAACAACGGACAATGATAGTTTTCCTTGGTTGTCTCTCTGAGCTTAGATGTGCAATGAGGCTTGACAGAAGCCATTTAAATGATGTTAAAAACCCATTTAAAGGAGTGCAAGCAGTTTTTGTGTTTTTTTTTTCAACTGATCCATACCAAAAAGTGCTTCTCTTCTGAGTGCGACCCTGTTTATTGGTTTACACTGTTGAGCGGCTCTTGAGTACACTGTTGAGTAGCTGGTGCTACTTTCTGTAAGGTGCATGATGAGAGCATAAGCTGTGTCCACACTGATACTGTCATTGATGAGATGGAATGGTGTGCCCTGACCATAAGTTAGGGCCATAAGACCATTAGTCTGGCCATAAGCTGCCTTTTTTTTTTTTTTTTTTCCCCTTCCTGACTTGCAGTGTAACAGTCTGCGCTGGACCTTTTAAGCAGAGGATGAAGGTTGCATGCATTTCTTCTCAGTATTTCCAAAGTCAGCGGAGCTGCTAGGATCAGATAGACAGCTGGTAGGGCTTCAGTTTCAGGAGATTATGACACCTATGGTCTGTGGGCCAACTTTGAGGTGGCCTTGGTGTTAGCATTAAACAGAAGAATACACAAAGACCTTGCTCTGAAAAGCCTTGTCTCTTAAACAGACAAGAGGAGCAAGAGTGAATGGGAAGTATGGCGAGTATAAATGCTTTATCCGGGTTCACATTGCCACACGTCCACTTTTTAAAGGCATTTTCTAATTAAGTCTTAATATTATGAGTGCAAGGAGATACTGAAGTTTAGAGAGCAGATTGGCATGCCCTAATTCTTGAGGATTAGAGATAGCAGTAGACAGAAAGTAGGTGAAAAGTAGTGGATTTAGCTAACTGGAGCACACTACTCTGCAATAAGGCATATGACATATTACGCTTTACGGAGGCTTCAGTATTAAGTTTATCTCTCTGTTTAGCTGATGTTAGACAAAGAGGCATAAGGTTGTGCTTAGGCAATTTATAAGATGTGGTAAGGAAGTCAAAAGCATGTACAAAAATCCCAAACAAAATATGTTGGGGTTTTTTTTCCCTCTCTTTAAAAAGAATTTTTTAGTTTTGGTGCAGTACCAAGTCAAAAAGTCAGGCACTCAAAACTCAGGAAATTCCAGAAGCCAGAGTTCTTATAATACTGTTAACTCACTCATACAGTACTTCAGTAGCATTTTTATTTCTGTTTTTCTTTCTAAGTTACAGTCATGGTGCTTTATTTAATGTGAAGTTAAAAATGTTGCACCATAAAATAGTTAAGCTGTGGGTAAGATTAGTGCTGTGGGAAGAATCTGTTGGAATTTGCAGAGCTGAAGTCCTAGCTATTTTCATCTCAGCTTTACATCAGCATTTATTTTTACTACAGTTTAAAATACTCATAAATAATTGTATAAAAGTATACTGTGTAAAATAATACTTAATAGCATAAATCAGTATCAATCTAGGCATATTAATATATATTAATGTCTCTTATATATATTCTATATAATATCCCTATTTATCCCTTCCATATTTATTCTGCTAAAATGGCTAGTTGACAATTATGTATATTGCTACATAAATTATATTTATAAAAGTCCATCTTTAGAGCTAAAATTGTGAAAGTTTGGTGGATTTATTTCAAATTGACAAAGTGAGAATCATCCTTTGTGGTTCAAACTCGATGCCTTATTATGTGCAATGTTTGAGATGCTTTGTAGGACTGAAGGCATCGTCTAAATCCCACCGTGAAGGCAGGTTTAGTCCCCACCAGCAGCCTGGAAGGGAGTAAAGGAGACGTTCTTTGCGTGCCAGTCTGGCTAAAGAACCAAAGGGAACCAAAGCTTCTTTCCAGGAAATTGCTTTTCAGTCAGAACTGGGGAGAACGTGGAGAGGGAGCGAGTCAGACTGCTTATGTCACCGGCACGTTTCTGTGTGGGGATGTTCCCCTTCACTGTTTCTACCCCATCGGCTGCTGTCTATCCTTATTTACTGTGATAACGTTACAGTAGTATTTGATAACACTGGTAACATCATGAATGTAGGGACTTGAGAGTATACGTCAGTGTATTTGGTGCTTCTTGTTAGCTGGTCATGCAGATCAGAGGCTCAGTGCTACTGCATTTAAACTGGAAAAAATGCTGTAGCTGTTGAGAAACAACTGCCATCCTGAAAATTGTTCA